TGGAATGTAATTGAATGTAATTACATATTTTTAATCATTTGATTAAGAGCATGAATGATTAAGGTCTTCCTTTGCATTTATGACAGACTAACAATGCAATGTCAACACCCTTTTCTTTTACACCAAGCTCTCTAGCTAGCCTGGTTTCAGGAAATATCCAGCTTTTGAGTCTTCAGCCTTAATAGGAATGAAAGAGGAAAAGCACATCAGGAAATCAAAATCATGCAGATGCCAAACATCACCTATTATTGTTTCCTGGAGGTAGTTAGTGAAAAGGGAGCAGCAGCACCTTTTGCTCGCTGGTGAAAGAGAACCTTCTTTTGGGGCCAAGTGACAGTGACATGGTGTCCATTTATATTTCTTCCTATTAATACATTAGGGAAATACAACATAGATGGGGCTACTTTAAGGTAGGTGCATAATTGGTTGGATATCTGTTCCCGGGAAGTAGTTATCAGTGGATCAGAGTTATGTTGGAAGGCCATAATGAGTGGGGTTCTGCAAGGATCAGTTTGGGGACTGTTCTGTTCAGTATCTTCATCAATGATTTAGATAATGGCATAGAGATTAAGCTTATAAAAGTCTGCAGATGATATCCATCTGGGAGGGGTTATAAGTGCTTTGGAGGACAGGATTATGATTCAGAATTATCTGGACAAACTGAGGAAATGGTCTGAGGTAAATAGGATTAAATTAAATAAGGACAAATGCATTTCCACTTAGGTATGAACAATCAGTTGCACACAAAGAAAATGGGAAATGACTACTTAGGAAGAAGTACTCTGGAAAGGGTTCTAGGAGTCATAGTGGACCACAAGATAAATATGAATCAACAACGTGACATTGTTGTAAAAAAAACCCCAAACATAATTTTGGGATATATTTGCAGGAGTGTTGTAAGCCACACACAAGAAGTAATTATTTCCCTTTACTCCTCAATGATTAGGCCTTAGCTGGAATCTTGTGTTCAGTTCTGGAAGCCACATTTCAGAAAAGATGTGGACAAATTGGAAAAAAATCTAGAGAAAAGCAACAAAAATGATTAAATAACCTATGAAGAAAGATTGAAAGAATTGGATTTGTTTAGTCTAGAAAAGAGAAGACTGAGAGGGGGATAACAGTTTCAAGTCCTTAAAAAGTCGTTACAAGGAGGAAAGAGAAAAAGTATTCTCCTTAACCTCTAATGATAGGACAAGAAGCAATGAGCTTAAACTGCAGCAAGGGAGGTTTAGCTCAGACATTAGGAAAAATGACATTAGGGTGGTTAACTACTGGAATAAATGGCCTACGGAGATTTTTAAGAGCAGGTTAGACAAACACGTGTCAGGGATGCTCTCGGTGGTGCTTGGTCCAGCTATGAGTGCAGGGGACTGGATGACTTCTTGAGGTTCCTTCCAGTTCTATGATTCTGTGAAATTCCCAGCCTCCGTCTCTTGGAGATAGAGCTAAAAAGTTGTTTTCATACCACGAATCCACATTTATAATCAAATACAGAATACAATGGATAAATCAAGGGAGCTTCTAAAAAGTGTGTGTGGGGAGGAGGCTATATGTACATTAAAAATAAATAAATGTATGTTGTATACCTAGTAGTAGGGAACAGGGAGATGATACTGGAGTTTCCTGAACAGAGTTAAGAAGATGCTAACTTTGGCTTCATTTACTGAAGTTGTTCCGCAGATGATGTGTTTCCAAGAGAACCATTAGTAACAAGATACAGGACTATGTAGCACTTTAAAGACTAACAAGATGGTTTATTAGATGATGAGCTTTCGTGGGCCAGACCCAGGAAGTGGGTCTGGCCCACGAAAGCTCATCATCTAATAAACCATCTTGTTAGTCTTTAAAGTGCTACATAGTCCTGTCTTGTTAGTCTTTAAAGTGCTACATACTCCTGTATTTTGTTTCAGCTACACCAGACTAACACGGCTACATTTCTATCACTATTAGTAACAAGGACATTAGAAGAAGATTACACATCTAAAAGTTCACCAAACAGGGTTCGAATTATTCCTGGTTCAAGATGCTGAGATTTTGATTAGCCATCTTTTTCCTAAATCCTGGGGTTTTCCTATAGAATGCTTTCTTTTTAGATTGCATGATGAGAATCAGATTTTTTTTAAAAGAATACTTATTTGACAGTTGTCTTTTTTGCCATTTGGGACCTTGTCTAATATATTTGCATGTGTCAAACACGCATTGCCTGCAACTGAAGTTTTGATATGTAAGAGTTGCAGGATTGAGGCCATAATAATCATTCTTGACCCTTAGGCTTCTGTTGGGAAAGGTAGGGTGTTGTGATATTTTTCTCTACTTTCCAAATAAGCTTTGAAAATATAAACCTAGATTTGCTATACTTTATCACCTAAATATGATTTTGGGAATTGCTATTGCTAGTGTTTGCTATATAGTTATTCTCTCTCAAGACTAGTAAGTATCAAATTCTCAATTTTGTATGAGAAAGGGAGACAATGAATTATGTCTGGAACATTTTCTTGTATAATATATGTTTTCTTGTTAACTTGGACCTTTTTAAAATATAAATATTTTAAAAATTAATTGACAAAATCAGGTATACATATTTCATCTTACATACAGATTTGATATGAGTTTTAAATGAGGTTTCATAAACAAATAGATTGAAGTAAATAGATTGAAATAAAATATGTTCTAATTCATATTTTAAAGTAAAATATGTTCAAATAAAATATGTTCTAATAATCCGCCCTTCATACTATTTTTATATTTATAAAGCACATTTCACATCAGAGAATCTCAAAGTTCTTTAGAAATCCTGGGCCACATTTTGGCTGAGAGGAAATTAAAGGTATGCAAATAGACCCATAGAAGTAGTCAACATAGAAGGAGGAGATAAACGTCAGTAGCACAAACCACATACTCTGAAGAATGTGCTGGGTAGGGAAGGGAGTACTGTATTTCAGGGACACATGTCTAGGTTGCTTCATCTCCTGCTAAATATGTGGAGAACAATTTGCCCCTTTAATGCTGACTGTCTGAACTAACTCCTGTGGGTTCCTGCTTCATATTGGCAAACCTTCTTGGGTAAAGGAGTGGCCTTAACATAGTTGGGGAAGACATAGCAGCATACATCAAGATTTCCACATAGATTTTGGAATATTTGTATATTTTGAAAACCATTCCCTTTGCTCCCATTTATGGTCCTACAAACCTTGCTTTCAGATTGCAAGATGAATTAAAAATTTCATGAGATGAAACAAAGAGTTTCCTGTGCAATCCCATCTCTTCTATGAGCTTCTTCCACAAGAGTTATGTGATACAGACATCTCTCTCTATAGAATCACTTAACTGAAGTCACTTCTCTAGTGGAGGATAGCAGTGAACGGGCACAGGCTATATTTGTAAGGGATATGGAAATCTGCTTAAAGAGAAGAGCCCTGGGATATTTTAGCAACAAATGTTCAAGGGCATTTCATACTAAATTACATTTACCATTTACTAACCCTTGTAAGTTTCTCAGCTTATTACTTACATGTGATAGGTATACGTCTAGACAGTAGGTGATAATACTAAAAAATATGGGCAATAAAAAGCATGTGCAAGAATTTGTGAATGCACAAATAGAGGCAGTGTTTTGAAAATGTATCCCTTAATGTCCATGCAGAGTAGAGACAGAAGGGTTTTCTTAAGGCTTCATCTGAAAGACTCCAACATAATAAATGGCATGGAATTACTCAATTCATCTACCTTCGAAGGAAGAAGGATTGAATCAGTCCTGCTGGGATTTGAACCTGTGGTTCCAGGGAGTCTAGTTATTCCACATCTGTAAGTTAGACCACTAAACCCCAGCCCCTCTGGTGAATAGTTTGCATTATTTTTATAAGAATGCATGTGGCTAATGTAAAATTATTAGGGGGGGGGGGAACCACGAATTGCTATGTGAATACAGTGCAATTATTGCTTTTTGTTTGTATTTCTGGACTAGGTTCATATAAAAACTTTAATTATGCTACAAGATGTAAAATGTGCCGAGGACAGTAACATAGTTCAATAGATTTATTATTACATTAACTCAATGTATCTCCAGAGAAATGGATTTCCTGAGCATGAAACATTTTCCTGGAAGTCTAGCACTCGTGGCATATGTAGAAATGTGTAATGGAAACACTTTTCCAAAATTTCTTTGCTTATAAAAGAAAATACCAGTCACATTTGCCCAAAATATAGAACCATCATTAATAGCGGTAGTTGGTGTAATCAGTATTTTAACAGTGGCCTTTTTGTTAGGAGCTGGTCACAACACCAAATATGGTGTTATCATCATCCTCATCTGCTATAAGAGACAATAAACATGTATTATTGTGCAATAAAACAATGTTCTTAAAGCTGTCTTGTGGTGCCTGGGGAAGGTCAGATGAGGCTGTAAGAAAGCAAATGAATAAAATTTCATAGATCTAATTCACCATTGAGAGTTTTCCTTTTCTACTTTGTATTAAATAAGCATACATGCATGTACATGGCACTGTGGAGCTAGAGCTAATTTTTTTGTAAGAAATAAGGATCAAATTAACTTCCTTTCCAATAACACCCCTGAATTGAGTTGTAGTAAGATGAATGTGGGAAAGGATTAAAAAATCATGAATAAGGTATAAAATGACTCACTAAAGCATATTCCTAAATCCCCATTATAAGAGGCAGATGGTTTAAAACAGTCTTTATGTTAATCAAAAAATCTAATCTTACTCTGTTCCAATGAGTGAGACTTGGCAGGTCTATGAATGCACTGTTCTTGCAGACTGTCTGCTGAGCTTCTGTTGAAGCTCTTACATTCCTCTTTTAAGGGCTTTGGTAAGGTAATGAGAAGGGAGTAAAACAATGTGCAAAAGTGTGTGTGTGTTTACAAGGATCTCTTTAAAAGGATAAAAAGGTGAAGGAATCTCTGTATCCTTGTCTGTGATGGAGATGACAGTAGAGTCTCAATGACACAGGGTTAATTTCTCTCTTTTCTGTTTGTCTCCTAGGATGTGACATGTGTGCTGATAACCGCAATGGTGAGTGCCCCATGCACGGGCCACTTCACTCTCTGCGCCGCCTAGTGGGCACTAGTAGTGCTGCAGCTGCAGCACCTCCACCTGAGATTCCTGAATGGCTCAGGGACCTGCCTCGGGAAGTGTGTCTGTGTACGAGCACTGTGCCTGGTCTGGCCTATGGCATCTGCGCTGCTCAGAGGATCCAGCAGGGCACCTGGATTGGACCTTTCCAGGGAGTTGTGCTTCTGCCAGAGAAGGTTCAAACGGGAGCCATCAGGAACACACAGCACCTCTGGGAAGTAAGTCATCTTCTTTCTATTCCTTATAAAAGTTTGATTTTTCTCAAAGTCTATATCAGATATCATTGTATGTAGGACATATAGTTTAGTTCCTCTGTACATAATGAATAGATTTATCTTATCCCAAAGCACCCACAATGGATTCAAGTATGAAATCAGTAATATATGCCTGGTATATTTGCCTACACTTTCTCCAACTGAGGATACTATTGGCAAACTAGTGGAGACCTTAAAACTGCAGCTTCTTTGCATGAAAAAGAGGCAGATTGTTGCACATTCTCTTATCTTTAATATGGAGATATGGTCTGAGGTGGTCATATTCCAAACATACAGAGCTTCTTTCATCTTTATCCAAGTGACAGCAGCCCAGGGAGATGAGTGGTCCCAATACGTGTCACTCCATTTTCGTTTGAATGGAGGGAACTCAGTTTGAGATGGCACATTATGTGCTCAGACCAGTCATCTTTGTAGCCTGAAAATGTTCCTGTGTGTTACACTCCCATGTTGAGGATGAGGTCAGTCACCACTAGTAAAGCTACTGTCCTTAGTTTTGGCCATCTCCTGTGGTATTGTAAATAAACTTGCTCAGAATCCAGGGTTAGATTTTTGTTTGACAATTCCTTCTTAGTAGCTGTCCTCTTGAAAGGAGAAGTGCAGTGCTGTTTGGCAGTAGATGCTGACACCCAGTGTAAAGGCATTTCAGCCGTAGAATTGAGGTGTAGTTCAAATGGACATTGTTTGTAGATTCCAGGCCAGTTTAAGAAATCATAAAATCTACATTGTACTTGGCTTTACAGGGGCTTCCCCAGTCACTATTCCACTATAACTCACGGTTTGCCAGTGCAGCACCATTTGAGAAATCCCTGCTTTTAGAAATTTAAAATTCAGCTGTATTAATGATCCTCAAGTTGCAAGCTAGCCCCTGTGTTGTGCTGGCCAGAAAGCTCTATTTTTTTACAGAGATGATAAACAATTGTGTTGAGTAGTTTTGCATTTCAGTAAGTTAGTTTTAAAACAAGAAGAAAAGTGTGCTGATTTTAGGCAGAGCTTTAACAATAGACATCTAACAAAAGTGTCCTCTCCATCCTTCATCATGTCCTAGTATTTATTCAATTGCATGTTTATTATAAAAAGAGGAATGGCATCCTGAGCTCTTTATCTTTTTCCCACTCATTTCTCCTTAATTCGTAACATAATTTCTGTAGTATTTTTGTCCCTTGAAATTTATGTTTTGTGCTTGAAGATTTCAGGCCTGATTCTGTACATCCTCTGTTAGGGTTGCTAACTTTCTATTTACACAAAACTGAATCTTGTCCCACCGCTCCTCTGAGGCCCTACCACGCTCACTCTAACCCTCCTCCCTCTGTCGCTTTCTCTCCCCACTCTCACTTACTCGCTTATTTTCACTGGGCTGGCTCAGGAGACTGAGGTGTGGGTGGATGAAGGCTCTGGCCTGGGGTACGGACTCTGGGGGTGTGACCAGAAATGAAGAATTCATGGTGTAGAAGGGGGCTCTGGACTGAGGCAGTGGGTTGGGATGTGAGAGGGGGTGAGGATTCTGGCTGAGGGTGTGGGCTCTGTGATGGGATCTAGGAGTGCTGGAGGAAGCTCAGGGATGGGACGTATAGCTGACGGTTTCAGAGGGCTGGGATCAAAGGGTTCAGAGAGTGAGAAGGGGATTGGGGCTGGGACAGGGAGTTGGGATGCAGGGGGGACTCAGGGGTGTGGGCTATAGGAGGCATTTACCTCAAGCAGCTACTGGAAGCAGCAGCATGTCTCTCCCTCCTGCTTCCCCTCTCTTCCCCCCTCCCTCCCAGTTCCTATGTGAAGGTGAGCCCAGGCAATTCTGCAACTCCCGGCCAATGGGAGCTGCAGAGCCAGCACTTGTGGCAGGGGCAGCATATGGAACCCCCCTATCTGTTCTTGTGCATAGGAGCCAGAGGGGAAACATGATGCTGCTTCCAAGAGCTGCACGGAGCCAGGCAGGCAGGGAGTTGGTCTTAGCCATGCTGCAATGCTGACCAGACTTTTAACTGTCCAGCTGGTGGCACTGACCAGAACTGCCAGGGTCCCTTTGTGACCTGGCAACCCTATCCTTTGTGGAAAGAACTCCCACTGAAATCAAGGGGAGAGATATCTGCAGAGTGTTGGTAGGATTGTGCCTTTCGTCCAGAAGAGGAGGAAGCATTTGTGAAATTAGTGGTTCCAACCCTGCACCTAAACAAGCAATATCATCATTGTTAACTTGCTGAGCTAGAGAAGTTCGGAAAGTGTTTGCTGCTTCAGGACCTGATCCAAAGCTCATTGAAGAGAATGAGAATATTGATGTCATTAGTCTCCAAGGGTACACCTACACAGCAACATTGTCAAAATAACTAGCATTATTTTGAAATAACTTAGTCTGCATTACACAGCAGGCAGTTATTTTGACATAATGTTGAAATACTGTCAAGCTGGAGGACTTCTTACTCTGACTCCTGTAACTCTCATTGTATGAGCAGTAAGGGAAGTCAGAGGAAGAGTGCTCTATTTCGAAATAAGTGCTGTGTAGACACTAGCTATTTCAAAACAAGCTATTTCAAAATAATTGCTGTGTAGATGTAGCTGAATTTGCATAGCTTATTTCGAGTTAAGCTCTGTTGTGTAGACGCAGCCCAATTTTATTTAGAACTGTCATAAGGATTTTTACTAGATGTTTAGTATTATGGATTCCCAAGTTTATTTAGAACTGTCATAAGGATTTTTACTAGATGTTTAGTATTATGGATTCAAAACATGCAAATATTGACTGTATTCATTCACTGCAGACCTGTAAGTTCTTTGGGTCAAGGCTATTATTTTGGTACACGTCTGTACAGCAACTAGCATTATTCGGCCCTTCATAGATAACTTTGGTTCCTTGGCACTGCCACAATACCTATATATATTCTCAAGGCCCTTTTCTGCAGTCCTTACGAAACCTAGCATTGAGGCCAGTAAGAGTTTTACATCAAGACTGAAAGATTAGCTCCATCATGTGTCAAAATGCATTGGGTGAAATTGTGGCTCTATTGAAGTCAGTGGGAGTTTTGCCAATAATTTCATTGGGGTCAGAATTTCACCTATTTTATATATTGGGCCAGATCCTGTTCCAGTTGAAGTTAATTATAAAACTCCTATTGACTTCAGTGGGAGTACATTTAGGCATATTATTAATACAAGAAGAAAAAAAAATAGCCATCAGAAAACCCTCAAGTTTTGGACAATTTTTGTTTATTTTGACCCTCAAAATGTTACTTTTTATTTTTTAAATATAGATATTTACTAAATAACTAATATAGCAAAGGAAAGAGATCAGGAGGAAATTGCAGTTTTACAGAGTGATTTCTGTGAATAAATGAAAAAATACTTGTGGTTGAAAAATCTATATACTTTTAGTATATCTCATAGAATAAAAAGTAGATAGTCAAAATTAAAGGATCACCTTTGTCCTTTTATAAATTAGTAACTGTAATTAATTCCCTTCCATTTCCCTTTTAAAATCAGATTCAAATGTAAAAGTGACTACAGATTTATAATTCAATATTAAAGTCCTAATGGATCTTAGCGAGGTAACGTTTGTTTTCTTCAGTACTCTAAATAGTTTTCTAATATTTTTTCTTGTGGTATTGCATAATTATGTTGATGGATTTTTGTTTCAATTTACAGCTTTTCATTGTTTTCAGTGTGTGCTAAGTAAACTGAAGAACTATTCCAAAAACAATTATACATAGGTACAGATTTGGTGCTTTTTAATTTTGTTTGTTGTGGCAAACATCAGAATTATTGCATTTGATATAAGGTACAAAACCATGGAAATATTCTTTGGTTTGTCTGCATGAGTTCTCCCACAATGTAGTCAGTGTTTGCTTTACATGTAACCCATATATCTCAATGGACAGCATTTTAGAATAAATTAAACACCATTCCATTACTTCACATCTTGACACCTATGGGTGTTCATGGGAAATTATAGAGTTCTTTAGCAATTACCTAAGGTATTTTTTTTAATAATCTATAGTAAGATCAGATCTTCAGATAGCCAAAAATATTACTCATTTTAGTTGTGGTTGTTTCTCTTCCTTCTCCACACCCGCGCCGCCCCCCCTCCTCCCGCCCTTTGGCCCACTTTAATCTAGATACAATAAACTCTGATTTGTTTAAAAGGAAAACAGTACTGGGTGTATTAAGTAAACATTCTCTTGGGTAATACAGGCATTTACTCCAACAGTGCTTGATAACTTTTCTGATCCTTTTTTTTTCTATTTTGAAGTAATGGGAACAATCCTTTTCTAATGTTATTGCAAAGAAAACAGAGACTTTCTCAGCAATTAGGTCTTATTGATGAGAATGAGATAATTTTCCCTTAATGTGTTTTCTAATAAAGAAGTGAAAAGGCACACTTGATTCTAACATATATGAAAACATTATCTCAATTATTAATGTGTCCTTATTCCCTAGAGATAAATTAATCTAGTTGCACATGGTTTCCCCTTTCTGCTTAACATCAGAATTTAATAGGACTAGACTTAAGGAATGCATAAGGGATACACTTAAAATTCTGTTGGAATAAAATACAGAAGTTTTAGTAGATGAAGTTTTTCAGACTTCATAAATCCTAGAAAGAATTGAATGATAAATGGATTTTTTCCTCAAAAATACTTAAAGCAGAACCATTTTGATCACTTAGATGAAGCAAAGTTTTACTATAATTTCAGAGATAGCGTTATTGAAGGATTGAATCTTATACTTGCCTTTTCCTCTTTATACTAGTAACATTTTGCCCTCATTACTGCTTTATTCTGGAAATCAGTTAAATAATTGTTCTTGACATATTCAAGAGTATATCAACTAAATTATTATATTTTATTGTGATTTGATTTTTATGTCATAATGTTAGATGTAGTTGAAAGTTTTGCTTTTATGTGTGGATCTTATCTTTTATTGTTATCCGTTAGTTTTATTTAAAGAAGTGAATACAA